GCGGGTAAATCCCCGCTTCTTCCAAATTGAAATCAATAAAAAATCCGTCTCGTGGATCTGATCCCGATTTCACAATTAAGATCAGTAGAAAAAATTCACATAAGTCGAATAATACTACATCTTGTTCTACATCTCTGAGCCTACAACAGATTTTAGATAAGACTCCGTTTTTAGAGACGTCTAATTCGGTTTTTGAATTCAATAATTCCTGATCTACAATAAATACGCCATTGGATTCGGCATGTAATAACGCTATGATCACCGATAATACTAATGACCTCAACAATTCTCAACATGCTGTACCTCAAATTAATTACACTTCTTCTTCTATTTCAAATAATGATATGGATAATTCTTGCTTTAATGTTATTCAGAATGTATTACAGCATAAACAACAAATCTTCTCATCAGAATATAATGGTCCTATTTTTATTCTCATCGAATGCATTGATATAGATAAAACTTTAGGAAGGTGGCATCCAATTAAAGCTGCTAAATTCTTTTCTACTAATTTTACTGGCATTACTAATATCAAACTCGCTCGGTTTAAAAAAAAAATACAAAATAACATTTGATTCCATTACGTATGGTAATTTGTTTCTGAAATATACAATTTTTAGTCGAAAATGGTTTTTCTGTTTGTATTTCCTATAATTTATCGTATTCTTTTGGTGTGATTAAAATTGATATGGATATTTCCGAATGTGTTTTTCAAGAAAGAGTCCGTTCTTCAGTACCAATAGAAAGTTTTAGACGTATTACAATAAATAAGGATGGCATTATTATAATCACCCGCATTGTCGAATTGAAATTTGTCTCACCCAAATTGCCGAAATTTATCTCGGTGTTCAATATTTGATTTGAAGTCAATCCCAGTGTACGGTTTCCGGTAAAATGTAATTGTTGTCTCCGGTTTGGTCATACCCAGAAAAGTTGTCGGAGTGATACCAGATATAGTGACTGTGGTGGCTCGGTGGCTCTAAACATTTCATCATCAATTGCCTCATCGTTAAAACCACTGGTCCCTCCTGCTTCTATTGTAAACTTCCTCATGTGGCTACTTATCATACTTGTCAGAAATCGGTAGCTCAGAAAGAAATCAAAAAAATTATGGCCAGTGAAAACATCTCTCATCAAGATGCATTGAATTCCAAAAAAAATAAGTGTTATACCTCTGCATTTAAATATTCAGATATGGTTAATAGCCAGTTTCTTGCTTCTAAAATTATGGAACCCAAATTCTCTCCTCAGATAGAGAATTTCCCTAAATTAAATGACAATCACCATTTTTTCAATTCAAAAAAAATTAAGCTAAAGTTCGTTTTTTATTTCCTTCAAAAAATATTTTCTCTTTTCATTATTTACCGTTTTTTCCTTCCCCCCCAACGGTAGCTATTTGAAGCAAAATATAGAGCAGGATCAGGCATCTGTTAATAAAGTCAATGGCTATTCTTGCATTTCTTCCTATTTCTTGTCCCATTTCTTATCTAATATTTTATCGGAAGTTCTTATCAATTCACTTACTCTCTCCTCCCCTTTTTCTCCTTCTACTCTTCAATCGTTAATTAAATCTTCTTTATACTCTCTCCTCTCTGTTCCAATTCCAATTGAGAATTAGTTCTTCTTATATGTCAAATAACTTAAGTTGTATAAATACAGCCTTTCCCATTAACATTCTCCAATGGAATGTTAGGAGTCTGATGGCTCGTCTTTCTTCTTTACATTATTTACTATCCTTCGAAAAATGTTCTATAACTCTTCTTTCGGAAACTTCCCTTATTACCTACTCGTTCATTCACTATTACCAATTTTTCCAGCTACATACGTGATCGCCATGACGGTTATAGTGGTGCAACAATTATAATTCATAATTCCTTAAAATCTAGATCCATTTCCATTAATGAGGGTACTTGTAATTATTTTTCTAATTTCAAAATTAATATTGTCAGTTCTGAGGTCACTCTACTTAATTCGTTTTAGAGACGAAGACGAATTAAGTAGAGTGACCGTTAGATTTTAATGTGATTTTAATGCCTTCCATCCTGCCTAGGGTTATCCTTCGATTTTCCATCGCGGAAATCATATATATAAATTCCTTGATTTTGCCATTTCAGCACTCAAACAGGCTCTCGGTGAACTTAATATTATGCTTAATGAATTACATTTTTCAGTCGCTTATGACAAATGCAAATCTGTTATATTTACCAGACGTAGATACTTGAATTTCCCTAATGTTTTTTTTCAATAATAATATTATTCCACTTGTGGATAACACCACCTACTTAGGTATAACTCTCGACACCAAGTTGCGTTGGTTACCACATATTATATCTCTCATATCTTTTGGCTCTCTTTGGGTTAATTTTTTTAGAACGGTCACCGGTACCTGGTGGGGCTCATCCGACTCCTCTCTTATCGATTTATGAATCTATTATTTGCTCCAAATTGGATTATGGTTGTTTTCTTTTTGGGTCGGCATCATATTCAAATTGGAAAAGATTAAACAATGTTTAGAGTTTTTGATGTATTATGGGTTATGTTAGGTGATCCCCTCTACCAGGTATTGAAGTAGAGTCCCTATGCCCTCCTTTTAATATCAGATGTCGTTGTATTGCAGGTAAATTCCTCCTAAAATCCTTATTTCGCTCTAATTGTTTTATCTTCCATACCTTTTATTCGCTGTTTTTATCTTGGCGTTATATTCCAAAATCTCTTTCGGTCCTCTACTTGACAGCTAACAATATATCCCTTTTTCATCAGTATATTTCTATTAATATGAAATTCCCTGTTTATAAGATAGCTTATGAAGCACTTATGTATTATACACAGGTACATGTTGTTAATATCTTCCCAGGTTTCACTTCCATAGAATTAAGATCTACTTATCCCGTGGTAATAAACAATCTCTTTTCGGATTTCATTGGTAATAATTTCATTGATTTTACTGTGATTTATACGGATGGCTCTGTTTCCCCTCTTTCGGTCGGTTACTCTTTTTATATTCCCGAAATACATATGTTTTTCACTAGTAATTTGCCCCCTTCCGCTTCATCTTACACGACCGAATGCTTTGCTATTATGGAAGCGCTTACTGTTATCTTGACTTTATCTTTTAAAAATTTCTTAATTTCATCCAATTCTTCGTCAGTTTTACAATATCTTAATTCTTTTTCTTTTAATTCACATGTGTTTCCATTAATTCTTCGCATCAAATCTATCCTATTTAGTCTTGTTTAATTAGACTTGAATGTTCAATTTCTCTGGTTCCTTAGCTATGTTGGTATACACGGCAATGAAATTGCCGATTTTTAAGCCAAAGCATCAGCTAATTTTATCAGCCCCTCTTTTTCTTTAATTCCTTGGTCCGACTTTACTCCATTTTTAAGACGTTTTCAATCTTTGGTCGTTATATTGGAATAATCTTCCTGCTAACTTTGAAACTAGACTCAAAACTATTTTGCCTAATATTGCCAACGATATTTGGTTCAGAGATATATCACTACCGATATCTTACATTATAAAGTTCAACCGTCTACGTATATTATATTTTACCCTTTCACGCTTACAAATTAAATCTGAACGATTCCCCTTTTTGTACGCTGACGAAAGCATTTGTGACCTTTCTCATATTCTTTTTTATTGTTCTTCACTCTCCATAAAATGAATTTATCTAATTTCCACTCTTAATTGCTTAAATGTTCCATTTGATCTTTCTTCTATTTTAAAAAAAAATTCCAAACAGGTTGTTTTAATTACAATTATTATTTTTTTATTTAAGAGGCTGGTTTTACTATTTAATAGTTTCAATTTTATATATATATAAATATATATTATGTATTTTTTTCCTCTCTTTTGTCGTAGTTCTATAATTGTATTATATAATTAACTGTTGAGATTAATATATAATAAAGGCTCTTAAAAAAAAAAAATATTAATACCTAATTTTAAATAATTAAAAACCTTTTTTAATATGTCAGTTTTATTTCATTATTTTACACATATTGTATAACGATTTAAATTAATTCAACTATTTAATGAAACAAAAAAAAAAAAATTCAAAAGACTTTTAAAAATAACCAAGGTCTTCAAAACTGTATACGATTGTTTCTGATCTTATTGTATCAAATTATCTTGAAAATATGAGTATAAATATAATTATATTTATTATTTATTTATAAATTTATATTTATTATTTCTATGGAAGAAGTATTTGGGGAACATAATATCTATTCAATACATCCTTTTTTTCAAAACTATTGGTTTCGTTACTAAAATTTTAAATATGTAAATATGTAATGTATTTAAAAATGTAATAACATTAAAGAAAACCACCTTTATTAAATTAAATTAAACAATTACCAATTAATGTAAATAAATATAAATATAGACTAAAGACCTTATTTAGTATTTACATCTAATAATATATATATAAAACAAACAATAACCGTTAGTACATTTTTAAATAACACACATAAAATATGATATATATGTAAACGTTATGTAAATTTATGATGATAACTAATTGACAATTTTTCAACCACAAGATATCTTATATAAAATACAATTAATAATTATTGGTTATTTATGATATAAGTAATCATAAGCGCATCTTGGAAGAGGATTTAAGGAATTAGCTCCAACCCCACCAAATTTCTCATAGATCTTCCAAAATTAACTTATCATACTTTTAGATAAAAGTATTGTGGAACTATAATCATTCCCATAGATTTAATACTTAATTGCGCTATTGTATATTATACTTGTTAATACTAAACTTATTTTAATATTTTTATTCAAATGTTTCACAGTTTTTTCATATACTGACTAACTATTCTAAAATACGTATCGTATTATATACATCTAACAACAATGATAATAGATAATAAAAAAATACATGTTATTGTTAAAAATTAGGTTGTTATATGTAATTTAAAATAAATTATTGTTAAAACAAAATTATCAAAAGCTACAGCAACTTTTTAGGCTTATAATTTACTTACGTTGTAATCATCAATATTAATACAAGTAGTATAGTTTGACCAGACTGCACGTGATATTGGATGCTTGAACCATGTACCATCTTTATTGCAAATTTTATAAGCAGTTCCTGTAATATTAAAGTTTCATTATTATTATAACCTAAAAATTTAATAAGTAAAATATGATTGGTAAAATTCGTAGCACATATCTTCAAGGAGTTCGAATGTTTGATAAATATAAATGTATTGGTAAATACATTCAACTATTTACTTGATAAGTCAACAATTACTTGGACGGCATTGAAAATGTGAGGTAATAGAAATATTTCGTTTTAGCCAGTTTCTGGCCTATCCGGTGTAGCATTTAGCACTTATATATTTATACAATAATTTGTGATGGGACCAAGTCAAATTTATTATTGTTAAGAGTTTTCGCGGTAATTAAAATATTACTAAATAACCAAATTTACATCTTCCTATTAGCAGGAAGTAGCGACAATTTTACGCACTAATTTCAAATATAATTGTTGTACAAATTCCAACCATTATATGAAAACTATTGAGCTATACGTTTGTTTATGTTAGTGAATATGAAAAAATTAAAATGTAATCATTTAAATATGTACTTATAATTAAAATTGTTATAAGTTTTAAACATTGTTTATCGACTATTTTCACGAATATTGACGACTCCTTTATTTCATTGTATATATTTTTTTATTTATCTTCAAATTAATATTTTGTTCGCACACATCAAAATTGAAAACGTATTAGGACGGTGTTTCATATAATGGTCGGGAATTGGACTGTAAATGACAAATACAAATGGTAACCAAAGCTAACCCATTCCATTCATCATTTTCAGTGTTATCCGTTATAATATCGATGATACACTTATGTTGTACATTAATTTATCACTATGGATGTTTTATTTAGTAAACTTTTCATTTTTAGATTCTTTCAAAACTACTATAATTTTAATAACTTTTAAGTTTTACAGTATTCATGTGAATGATTTTAAATTAAATTTTAATTTATTGGTGAATACGTGTCGACTGTTAAAAAATGTATAGTTACATGAGAATAAATAATATGGTTTGGATAATTCCTGAAAATATGCTCATCATTATTTGTATGTATTATATTTATCACAAGGTTTTCTTCACAATCATGACATTAGGTATAAAATGGTGTAACTTGTAATTAGGTATCACATTGAAGTCGGGTACATAAATAATATTCAAAACACACAAGTATTACAAGGATTATATTCAAATCAATATTTATTGTTACTAATTTGTTTGATATCCTTACACATATTATTTAAACATCAGCTAATATAATATATAATTATAAATCAGTGTATCTACAAAAACATATTACAATGAAAACTGTCTAAAGCGGAATCGCATGGGACCAACAAAAAATTCCGCTTTAAGCAGTGTACCGCTTTATTCAATAAAACGAAAAATTCCGGATTATTCAATTCAAATAAATACCAAAGAATATTTTTTCAAATTATTGTTTTAAATAATATAATTCATTAAAATTTAACTAGAATATAGGTTTTACAATTTATTAAATTTAAACTGGAATATAGGTTTTTTATTACATATTACATACTAAGACAATTAAATATGACGTATAAACATTTAGAATTTCCAAAATTTATGAAGAGTTTTTTGTTTTGTCACAGTCGTTGCTATTTTTTCTTCCGTGTTATATTTTGGCATTTTAATATTTAATATGATGAACGGAAGATAAAATTAAAGGTGTACGTACAACTGTTGGTGTAAGACTGTTTCACAGTTACAAAGAAGAAAGTTCGTATCGTTTATGCGATAATATGCATTGTATGTACGTATATTGTACGAATATGTATAGAAAAATTTTATCTTCTTTATTTATCACTATTGTAAACGATGTACATTGTATATACGCCTATCTACATTTTAAACCTTATTTTTGGTTTATAGTAAACACGCGTGTGCCATTTTTCCGGTTTATGCAAGGTTTTTACTTGCATGGGACTTACAAAATCGTTCCGTTTCCGCGTTAAGAAGGTTCCATTTTATGGAACTTTTTATTTGACTACAGAAACGTGCCGGGACCATAGAAAAATTCCGTATTGGATAGTTTTACGTTTTATTTAGGGTCCGCTTTAGACAGTTTTCACTGTATAATAAATCATATATCAACGATATAATAAACTAAACAATTTTTCAATATATGATTATTTTTAAACATTTGAAGTTTCCCAAAATAAATTTAAATATACATTCAAAGTAATTACATTACATTTATCACTATGTTACTTTAGATTTGAAATTTACAATACATAGAGAATTCTATTCTTACATTATTATTATTAAGTAAACAAATATATAGAATAAAAACGAAATTTTAATTAAAATTTGAAGTATAATATTTATTTATTTATGTTTATATTTTATAATGTATTATTTATTGTAGCATTTATTAATGAGTCAAGTCCAATCAAATAAGTTTTAGATAGACTGCAAAATTCAAATAACTCAATTTAAAAAAATTAAATTACATATAATGTATTACAGTTTTGAAATTAAGCCGCCATTTAAAGTAAATGCACTACATTTAATATGATATTAAAATAAGTGTTTTTAAGATTATAATTTCTAATCATTGATTATAGGAAACATTCTGAATCTAAAAACAATACTTTAGAATAAAGATTTTTGAAAGCTTACATACCAATGTAAACCACAGAAAAAAATGGTATCGATTTCAACTTCGAAGTCAAAGTTTAACATATTGCATCTTTAAGACAACATGTGTAAATTAAATAGAATTGAAATGTGCTGTTCTTTAAATCTTCCAGAGAGGCAATCAAAATGATAAGTTTTCTACCAATCAAATAAATAAATTAGAAGTATTTTTGCGTGATTTCAAAATTGTAAGTTGTTACATTTATTTTTACTGTATAACAAACCAAAAATAAAATATTTGTATTGAATGACATAGTATGAATATGCTTTGCATTTGATTTTCAAATAAAAGAAAAAAAGACAAAAACAATGTGTGACAACTTGAATAAAATTAATATTTTTTCATGTATTTTTTTCAGAATTTCACTTATTTTAAAGAAAAAAACAAAAAAGTAAATACAAAAATAATATTCCATAAGTGCAGGATTTACTAATTAAGATATTTCCAGTATTCATAAAGATGGTAATTTTTTGTTTTATAAGTTATAATGCACCAGTTCTAAAAACATAATTTGATTGCTAATAAACATACGATACATTGTAATTAGTAAAATTTCACTAGATACCTAGAATGTATATGTAGTTTCTCAAAAATAATATTCAATTATTTAATTTTTCATAGATTTATACTTAAACCACAACGAAAAAATGTTGTACATGTAACGGATCAATATACAATATGGTATCTGATGTAAAACTTTACATGTCTATTTATTCAATAGATGATTGTATCAAATTACAAATTGATTTAAATACTTTTTATTTATGGTATTTTAATAATGGTCTAAATATAATATACTGAGAAATGCTTGCAAATTTTCTTCTCTCAAAAAAAATCAAAACTAGTATACCAATATAAAATAATTAATTCGGAATTAAAGGTACCAGTATCACATGTGAGATATTTGGATAACCTATTATCAAATGATTTTTCATTTAATCAGCACATAATTTTAATTTATATTAAACCCCTTAGAATGTTTGGATTTATAAGACGTATTTGTAATGAATTTAAAAATCCAACTTGTTTAAAAATATTATACTATTCCTTTGTATACTAAGGTCGGGTGTTATCACTCATCAAGGGAGGTTCAAGGATTTAGTTAATTGGTTTTTAAATCTATTTACAATTTTAAATTACAGAATATGTTTGTAGTCCCTCATGAGTAAGTCATTTTTTTCATAACAGTGAAAAATTTTAAATAGTTACATTATTGGTATCGATTTTAATCTGAAACCATTTAAAAAATATAGGTATACACATATGATTAACAACAAAAATGAGGTATTTATTTAAAAAAATATATAAAATAAGTATTATATTCATCAATGATGATTGACGATATTTTATAATAATTATTAATATATCAATATATCATAATACTTGGCTTTGTAAAATAGTTACCTTAGTCCTAAAGGGGAGGCTAATGCCCCCTTAGCCACCCCCTTAAACCTGCTCCTGATGTACACTCTACTCTCGAATATGATTTAGTCTCATGGAGTTCCCATTAGATTGGTTTGAAAAATAAATTGAAATTAATTCAAACTAAGTTTTTCGGAGTACTCACGTACAAGTTAAATTAAATAAATTCACCCTTTGATCAAATAGCTAATGGATATAGTTTTAAAATACTAGGAAGGAGAAAGAAATTTAATGATTTATTTTTTTTGATTAAGTTTCTAAATTCCCAAATTGATTGCCTCGAAATACTTAGTCAATTACCTCTAAATGTTCCCTTAATAAATACTTGCGTGCCTCATATATTTTATATTTTATACTCCTAACTATAGTAGATTTTTTCCATTAAATATAATGCTCAGATTAGATAGTTCAATAAATATTGTTGATTTCTTTTATAACAGCTCAGCCAGATTAAAGTCACTGATATATACATGTAAATTATTTTTTTAACTATATCTATTTGTTTATACAGTCGACTCTCAATAATTCGAAGTTGACGGGACTGTTGAAAAATATCGAATAACCCAGAGTTCGAATTGTTGAGTAACTCAAAAAAAAGAGAGATAAAAAAAAAATTCGAATTACCTACTGAGTTAAGAGAAAAATTTTTTTTTTATTGTATATAATTACGAGTATTAATTATTTCAGCAAATTAGATGGTATTAGTTATTTATTGATTTTAAAAAGAAAATGTTAACTTTATATTAATTATACTATATAAATTATATTATTATTACAAAAAAATTTTATTTTTTGAAAAAAACTGTAATGATTTTCTGCTTCATTGAATTTAGTTTTATTTTTTCAATTTGACGCACTCATCACAAAAACTTTACAACTGACCAAATTAAACTAAAATAAAACTACATTCGGCTGACGGCTATCGAAGAGATAAATTTCGATTAGTGACAATTAAGAAATTAAATGATAAAGTTCTTACAATATTAATTCTATAGTTATCGAAAATAATATGCTAAATTTATACAGGACGGTATAGTAAATTATTAACAAAAAGATTAAAAGAATACTGATAAAATAAATGTTTTGAGTATACTTTGAATTCCCGAGCGTTGAATGGATGATACTTCGAATGGTCAAATGTTAGTTGCAAGTTTTCCCAAAGTTTAATTTCGAATTACCGAGTATACTTATATGTATTGTTTTTATTCGAATTACCACGTGATTTTCAAAGGACCAAGTATTTACTCTGAATTACCAAAGGATTTGAGTTATCGAAAGTCGACTGTATTTATAGATTAAATAACATAAAACATAAGTTAATGGTAACTCATTGTTTCTACTTAATTATATTGTGTTAATATTAAGTACAATAACTGTTCTGACCCTTATTAGACGTATATTTCAAATAATAAATGAATAATATTATACTCTTGCATTTTATTTATTAGTGCGGTTTTTTTGCTGTGGTTTACCACAAGTAGTGGGATTTAAGACAGTTCATATACTTAAATCTAATAAATAAAACTTACTCGTTGGATCAAATCCAGAAATAAATTGTGGACACGGTTGATGTACGGTGACTCCAGCTTCAGTATCGGCCCAGCATAGCCATCCATCAAATGTTCCACGACAGAAATGTGAACCTATCAACAAAAAAACTAACTTTAATTATTTTCATATGTTGTAAGATACTGGAGAACATCTAACTCAAATATTCGTTCATAGAAATGTAAACATAATAATATAATACAAAAATAAGGCTTTATATAATGTCTGGTGAATTACATTTGACCAAACAAACTTTTTATGGCACATTCATAAATATTTATTATTTTTAGTACAACCTAATATATCATGTTTGTAATACCATATATACGTGATACTCGTTTTTGAACAACTATTTAACAATATTTTCGGTTAGCTTTAGATAACATAGAATAATATCATACTACAACAGATTTACCACTCATTTTGTACTCTAAAAAATCGCCATAAATATTTGTTATGTCATTATCGTTTATTTTTTTTTTTTTACAGTTGGCTTTATTTGACTAGTGTGCTTGGTGTTGAAATCAGATTATTATTAGAAATACATATATATATATATATATATATATATATATATATATTAAAAATATATTTGTTGAATTAAATTAAAAGTTATAAAATAAAACATAATTATTCCATTATACATAGAATTTATATATTATTTAACCCAAATAAATTATTGCAATAGATACATTATTTTTTGAGTTATGTATACAATAAGTTTTATCAGTGCCTCATTAATTTATTACCAACTGGGGTAATAATAGGATAATTTTGGTTTTACCATATAATAAAGATATAATAGGACGACATTTTCAAGTACTATCGAACGTAAATAACAGCGTTAAAGGAATTTTTAATGAAACGTCGTAAACAAAAGAAATCACGCAATTTTTCACGCCAATGTTCGCACGAAATGATCATCACTTTTAGGTTTGTTTATATAAATAAATAATATTAAATATTTATTATTTATTACAATATTATATTCCGTACTTAGATATTTAACGATCATAACTATATTTATTTAATTACAATACCAACTTTTCTTTGCAAAGTACAATCAACACGATAGTTAGAGGGATATGTCAAATAATTTTGAACGTCATACGGTCTTAAGAAATAGCTACTTCAACTTTAAGTAAGTACTTTGACTTACCTGAGAAATTCTATTTGAAAACTAATTCTCCTAAATACCTTAGAATGATTGGAACAGGCATATAATAAGTTTAAACGTATTACTGCACGGTTTTATTGACAAAAAATATTTTTCTGTTTAGCATATTATGACTGTGGTGAACCTATTCATAATTTTCATTACTACAGATTAGAAGCCTATTATAGAGAAAAACATAATTTTATTAATTTAAATACTAATAAATACAATCAGGTAAGTAAAAAACTCAATACCATTCATTATTATAGTTTAATATTTCAGAAAATACTATCGAACACTGGATGTTTATCAATAATAAATTCTATCATGCTTAATATATTTACAATCAAATTTTACCTACTGTCTATTTGTAAGTTAGATATTATTGAACTATCGTTGTTAATACATTAAAAATATGGACAATACCACTGAATGTGATAATAGTTAAATGCGTCTTAGTAGCGCATACAACGATTTTACAATTTTTCATTAACAAATATTACTGTAATGTTCAATTGATGGCAATCAAATAGGATCGAGGAAGTATAAAATAAAATGGTATGGTTAATATTTCAAAAATGAATATTAATATAATTTTTACTAGGGCCAGATAGTTAGCTGAATAAAATACGTCTAGAGACTGAAAGTGACATACAAAACAAGGGTTCAAAATCTTTGTAGCATAAACACATACACATTGTATTTTATTAGTACGTATAAATTATAGTCAGATAATAGAATTATTGTTTTTTATAGATTCATGTAAAATATAAAAATTATTTTTAACATCACCAGTAATATATTTAATAAATTAATAAAAATCATGGTAGGTATGTCTAAAAATTAATACAGTGAAATAAATACAAATTAATTAAAATTCTTAAGTATAAGACCAAATAAATGAGAATAATTAATAGTTAACTATATAATTTCTATCCAAAAACTACTTTTACGAAGATGGGTATCGAATAAAATATATTTTAACGAAAATTATTTAACAATGATATCAAAACAGGACATTTTTGGGGAAAAAAATATATTCCCCTTTGAAATTGTGTAACTAATTTTTAGAAGAGGTGTGAATTCCAATAGAATGGGGTGGTTAATAGAGGCCACACTCTAATAATTTTGTTTTATAGAACTATTATTGTTCTTAAATATCTATTACCGATTACTTAATATAATAAAACTTACAAATAGTAAACTTTTCATCCTTTTCTCACACCTACCCTAATAATATATTTTTGGACTCACTAAGGCTAAGGCGTACAAATTGAATAATTTAAAAAGAAACGAATTGAGATTTGATCGGATTAATGCACGAAATTTATATGAATACTAACCGTTGGTGAGTACATTTTTAAAATTCAATGTGGGAAGAATATGCTAAAACATAACACTTTCACCTATAATTGTTACGTTTTTCATTGATAAAATATGTATTATAAATAGAATCCATTTTTAGATTGTTAAGCAACAATGGTATTTTGACAGTACAATTTAGTAACACAATAAAGTACAGCTTTTTGTATCAATTAATGCTGAGGGACTTTTCCAAAATATATTGTTGTATTGACGTATAAATCATCTTTGAATACGGAGAGAATTTTCTTTAATAATGTGTATTGAAATAATTACTAAAAGGATTTGGGATACAATTGAATAAAGTTTATAACAAATAATATTGCTACATTATTAACCTATTATTTTTAAAATATACATATACATATTTAATGTATATATACGTGTATGTGTTTCAGAGTCAGCCAATTGTTTTGTAATAACTTTTAATATTATTGTTTTGAAGCAAAATTCAAAATATTTATGGTTCACTTTATTATTAGGACGACCTCGGATGAAAGTCTGGTTTTTCTATCGTAATAATTTTAATATATTTTAATCAGACCCTGTAAGTTCTAACCAGTTGATAAAATACTTGATTTTAACAGTTTGTATTTAGTTTTTGTAAACTTTCGGCTCTGTCTGAGTGCCTAATTTTTTTTTTTAAGATTTTTTTACTCTTCAGCGAATAAACATGTAGCAATATAATATAATATACTGGATTATGATGATTTCTAAATAAATACATCATATTTCACCATATTTTTAATTTGAACTCTTTACCACATTCTAAGCATTTCGTAGTGTGTCACTGTACCAGTTGTAGTAACCGAGGTCACTACGACATAGCTAAAACTACTTTGTATTCTTTTCAACTTATTTTTCCTTGGGCGATGTCGAAAACAACCATCAATTAAAATACTTTTATATTTGGAGACGGGTTTTTAGCTAATAAGGTAAACGGGTATTTTAGATATTAAGTATATTTATATTATTTTTGTTATTAGCTAGCCATTTAAACGGGAATAGTTGTTTTAAGTATAAGTTTTTGAAAGATTAATATATTTTTTTTTTTAAATAACAACAAAAAGCCTTGAGTCTTTTCCTTGTTCTAAACTATGCATTACGTCTATCTGTGTATAAATAGGGACATAGTACCAATACTTATTCAGATACAATGTAGTCAGACTTATGAGTAGACCGATTCTGTTTAACTTACAACGTTAACCATTACATTTTGTTTCAGTAATATAATAAAATCACATTTATAACTTAAAAAGTGTTTTCTTTATTTTACTTCAAACTTTTACCAATGAACGTGCAATTACTGCAACAAAAGGTGATTTCGTCGTAAAAACGTTTTGAGTCAGTCTTTGATCAGACAGGCTCACCGCACAGTTCAATTAAATTTTTATATTATGTAAATAAAACATACTAATTATTACAAGAGAAACATAAAAATAATATTAATAAATAATTAAAATAGGTCTGCAAGCTTAAAGTAATAACATTTAATATAATTTATTTTATCAGTTAAATTGTTACATTCTTCAATAAATTATAACTATAATCGAATAAATATAAAAACAATTAGCTACTAAAATATTGCCTAAGCATATATTTCATATATTTTATTTCTTATATTGATTAAAATCAACTCATTTAGTTTTAAATTATCAAATTAAGTTTCAATTTAATGTGTTTGTACTCTATTAGATAATCAATAATATAATCGTATTATATAAGAAGCTTTGGTGATTTAGGAAGTGAATACTAAAAAGCTGTTTACCCATTTCGAGTCTTCTTAATAAGTACCAATATTTGCTGTAAGATACCGAAATAGTGATCTGTCAACCATTAATACTGCTCTAGTAACGTTTTGCCTCATTGATATCAATATGGAAAGCAACTAACTCTGGCCTTTCTCCGGAGAACATTTGAAAAGCGTAAGGATTATCAAAATTCTCGACGAGAATTTTGAGTTGGTCTTATATATGACATTGCGTTCATGGGATAGGTTTTAAAGTCTATAGAGCATCGAAAATAACAATCATAAGTCTACCGAAGGTTTTATCTTAGAGACCCTTTTATCTTTTCCAAAAACGCCATGATTTTGTGATTCTAGAATGCAAAGTGTATCCAATTTACTGATCGGGATGATAACGTTACAATCGGCAAATGGTAATTTAAATGTACACTCCGTTCACGCAAAAAGTATTATTTAAAGAAATGGTAAGATCTATCTGAACTAATAGGTGTCGCTTACTTTACATATAGTACTACGATTTACGTCAAAAACTGATTCTGTCGGATAACCATAAAACCATGACCTTTTTTTCGTAGCCTTGTACAACTATTATACTCAAAATCTGTAGACAAAAAAAATCGATTTGCTTAAGTTTCGGTAAACGTCGTAAATTTTATTAATTAAAATTCTATTACCATGTTAACAATATATAACTATTTTATAACTTTTCAAAATAAAATAACTTTTGTATTACACCACATCTTTATTATTTTTTCTTATACCATGTTGAATATTTTAATTTAAAACAATAAAAATCATAATGAATAAATACACAATAGTTGTTAATGCAT